TTGTGTTTTTTTTGGGAAAAACACTCTTCGAAGGAGCGGTTTTCATGGCTGCCCTAGCACAAAACGCGTCCTCTGGGAGCGGTTATGTGCCGGCAAGGTAAAACGCTCCAGAGGGAAGCGGTTTACCATGTCGACATATAAACTGCTCTGCCCCCAGCGGTTTGTGCCTCGTCACCCGACATCCGACATGTCGGCATGCAGGAGGTTGCAGGGGTGGGGGTTGCATGCCAGACTAAAACCGCTCCCCCCTACGGTTTCCAGTGAAAATTTGCCTATAAAAGGCAGGTCCAGAAAACTCAAAATCTTCACTCCACTCCTTCTTCTTCTTCTTCTTCTTCAAATTTCAGTTGTGCACCTTTAAATTATTTAGTTTTTCCGATTAACGTTAATTCATAATTTTGTTTTGTATTAATTTTCATTGTCATTTGTGATTTTTATGTTAGTAACTTAATTACAGTTTTATTGCAGATGGCATTCCAAAAGTTCCCGCTTGGGTTGCGGTGGAATGGTTACCCGGAAGACACTGGAAAGGGTGTAAGTTACGTGGGTGGAAATATTTATAAAATAAAGGTCCGTATGAGACCGATGCTTGAAGAGCTCTATCAAATGTGCAATGAGGTTACCTGCATGGAGGGCACTAGAAGAGTTGATCGTATGGTGTATCGAAATCCAAACAGACATGTCGGGTCGTTGTGGAATGAGGAATTCCTCATTACCACTCAGGAGGACGTTGATGCATGGTCCAATTTTTTACACCAATAAGATTAAACAAGCGGAGATGTTAATTTACACCAAGGCGGTCAAAGGTGGTGTAAGTCATTCTGAGATGGCCAACATCTAGTATCCACGGTGGGAGTGTATTATACGAAGATCATCCCCACCAGGAGTAACAAGACTCAAGCTGGAGGCAGGAGTATCATGATGGAACTGGAGGTCATCATCAATCCTTCCCATCATATGAAGAAGAAGCTCAACAGGCGGATGGGAACCAATAAGCAGGCTACAGTACCAACCCAAGTACAACTTCTACGAAAAGCGGCGTTAGTGACCACAACTACCATTAAGGAGCTGGTGAAGGTGAAGGTGCCTTTCATGATGATCATCAGATGGAAGAAGAGGTCAATCCAAGTCCAGCTAGTGACCCTGAGGTTGAAGAAGAGGAAGGCAATGTCAGTGCAGACAGCTTCGATCCTCTTGAAGGTGCAGATGATTCCAGTCCAGATTCAGACGCAGACGGTGATGAGGTGCCTCGCGACCGTATACCTATCCCGCACTACAATCACATTCCAAATGAAGATTGGTATGTTGATGCCGACATGGACCCGCCAGAAGTGCCAGTATGGGGTCCACTCGCCAGCTTTACCATGGGCCAACAATTTGCAACGAGGATTGAGGTCTGGCATGCTATTGCCACTAAAGCAATGACTCGGAGTTTTGAATGGCACACAACCCATTCCAACACGAAGAGGCTGATGGTTAGATGCAAAAATCAAAATGAGGGATGCAAGGCTAGGGTCTGGGCCATCAAGAGCAAGAGAGTCAGCCATCGGGTCATATCCCGTGCGGTGAACACACACATGTGTGTCATCAATAACAGCCCAAGGCCATCGACAGTTGAAATCAAGGGTGGTTGTCGCAACTATCAAACATCTAATTGAGGAGAAGCCCAACCAGAAGGTTAAAACCATCATCGTCGACATTTCTAGTCGTTATGTTTATATCATTAACTACAAGAAGGCGTGTCATTGAAAATAGAAAGCAATGGCCGCCATGTTTGGTGACTCGGAAGAATCATATGCATTCCTTCCCAGATTGATTTTGGCTATGGAGGGGTCTAACAATGGCACCATTTTCTCTCCCCGCTACCAAGATGAAGAAATTCAGTCGCCGGTGCCTGGTAAAAAGCGCCATTTCAAGCGTCTTTTCTGGTCATTCAAGCCATGTATTGATGGTTTTCCATTCTGTGTTCCTGTGATTCAAGTTGATGGAGCATTCCTTACCGGCAAGTACAAGGTTACTCTACTGATCATCATCGGAGTAGATGCAAATAGAGCAGTATATCCATTAGCTTTTGCCTTTGTTGAGGCAGAGAATACCGATAGCTATGGATGGTTCTCCAGACAAATTCAATTCCATGTCACCAGGTGGACGAACCTAACCATCATCTCTGATTGCCACTCCGGTATAAGGGCTGCCATCTTAGGCTTGGATCCAGCCTGGAAGTGGTCACAGAGATGGTGCATACGACATTTCAAGAGCAACTGGAACCATCATTTCAAGCGAAAGAAGCTTGCTGATAGTCTATGGTGGATCGGTAAGAGTTCTATTTCATTGGTCTATATCTTTTGTTAACTGGAAAAACGAGGAGTAAATCAATACAATACAACACTTATTTAGTCTCTTTATAAAGTAATGCATGCCTAAGGAAATGGGGTTTTAAGCGATCATCATGATCCTCCCATTTCCTGGGAAATTTGAGTTCTAAGCGATCCTCGGATCCCCCCTTTCTGTCAAACAGGCTGTGTTTCTAAGGAGATGTATACCTCTCCTAAAAGTATTACGAGTGTACTTGTATTGCTCAAAACGGAAGCCATGCTTACCTTACGCTTTTTCCGTGTATTCATCAGTTGTCGCTTACCAAGATAAGAAATTTAAAGAGAAGATGCAGAATATCCGTCATCTAATCCCTGAAGGTGCACAGTGGCTTGATGAACATGACCTAACAATGTGGAAGTTTCATAAGGATGGAGGTACCAGATGGGGTATTGCCACAACGAACTCAAGCGAGAGTATCAACAACGTCTATAGGGCATGTCGTGCACTCCCCATCTCTGCAATTGTTGAGATGACATTCTGGAAAACAAATGCATGGTTCGTCAACTGTCTCCACTGGTGGGAAAAGAGGGAGGCACAGGGTAAGGTACACTCCGATAAGGCCACTGAAATAATGGATAAAGATAGTCGGAAGAGCTCTCGGCACACTGTCACTGTTATGAAACAAAATGCTGGCAAGTATTCGGTCGAAACCTGGCACTGGGAGGATGAGAGATGTGGGGGTTATCGCCGATGAAGTCACCGTGATCTTTAGGACCAAAAAAGGGGAGTGCTCTTGTCAGAAGTATCAGGGTAGAGGTATACCTTGTTCCCATCCAATGGTTGTAATAAAGCACAGGAGCAAAGACCCTCATCATTTCGCCAGTCCGTTCTTCAACATCGACTCACAAAAGAGCAGTTATGGTAAGAGTTTCCGTGCATTGCCGGATGAAGCTTACTGGCCAGTTTATGAGGGTAAGGTCATCATCCCACCATTCGGACTTAGGTGGGAAACAGGTCGACCGCGGGTAAAAAGGATTCCAAATGAGATGGATCAAAGTGGAAGACCTCTGCGAGGGCCAAGGCGGTGTTCCATATGCAAAGTACCAGGGCATGATAAACGAAATTTTCCTAGACCAATTGGTCCTCAAAATCCGGGCCCCGTTGTGGTGAACCCGGACAATGGCGCATAGATTGATTTCATGCATTTTCACATGGTTCACAGAGTGTATTAATTTCAATGGTTGCGTACTTGTATTTTGTGTGCTTAAATGGCATTGGAGATTTGCAAAATTGACACACTTTGATGCAATGTTCCATCTTTTTGAATAAACACATCACTCACACAAACACACTTCTACATGAAACAAAAAAATAACATCAAATAAAAACAACTTGTTTAACTTAACTTAAACAAAACATAACTTGAAATAAACACAACTTAACTCGCTCCCGCTCAATGCTATGGTTACGTAATCCCTACCACCTAGGGTTGTTCAAATGGTTACCATGGTAATTACCAAACCAAATAAGGCTAAATTTCATTAACCATAGAATACAATATCATAACCAAACCGTCCAAACTAATACAACAACCAAATCAAACTTTAATCGGTTTGGTTGATTGGTTAACCAAATTAACCAATATAAAATCACATTATCCGTAAGTGAGAAAAAATTTCGGTTAATTTATCAATTCACAATTTATATAATGAATAAAACATAACAATAAACACATCGTTATAGTTGACCCTTAACATAAATACATGCAACTAAGACAATTGTCTTAAGGTTAGTATAGAAGTATTTACCTCACAAAAATTTATCATAATGGTATGGGTTAATGAATTGTTGTGTTTGTGTGAATTGACTTAGTCTCTTAACAATTTTTGATAGGCTGAAAAGGACCTTAATTTCAAGTTTTTATCCAACATAATGTATGAGATTTATCTAAATTAGTCATTCATATGTTGTGGTCTACACTCTACATATATAAAATAAATATACATTATAAGAACAATATCAAGTTTTATATTTTATGAGTCTAAAAAGGATGAACATTTAACTCTTGAGTGGCTATGCAATGTATTAAGTATGTGTATACATTATGTATATGACTAATTATTTATCTGGTTAATTTGGTTTGGTTGATTAGTAATATCTGAAACAAAACAAACCAGCTAAACCAAACAAGCTAAAATTTTTAACCAACCCAAATCAATTATCCAAATTAACAAATCAAATTATCCAAATAGTACGAATTAAAACTATTATCACGATAATTTGGTTTCCGCGGTGTAGCAGGTAAGACCCTCCATTTCTTTCTGCCTCTCTCTCTCTCTCTCTCTCTCTCTCTCTCTCTCTCTCTCTCTCTCTCTATTTGGTTAATAATTCCACAACATTTTAATTTCTTTGCTCTGGATCCTTACTATTTAGTATTTACCATAGTCCATGAAACCGTACCGTACCGGCGGTTCAACCACAAAATACCAGTATCGGAGGCTAAACCGGTATGCGGTATTTAACGGTACTAACGATTAAACTACAATAAAACCACGATTTTGTCATAAAATACCCTATCGCTGACTTTTCCGGTACGATCTCCAATACGGTTTCATGTACCATACTATTTACCCTTTTTGACTCGTCGAATCTAAGCTCAACATTTCCTCGGGGTCCTTCCCATCCCATCCCATCCCATCCCATCCCATCCCATCCGTTTTTCTTTTTGGCCTTTATATATCTGAACAAATCGTCAATTCATTTCAATAATTTCGATTCTGTTCCCAGATCGTAGAAGGACGTTCGGATCGGGATTCAATGGCGGCAGCTCGACGCCTCCGGGATCTCCAATCGCAACCCGCGAACAAGATCTGCGTGGACTGCTCCCAGAAGAATCCGCAATGGGCCTCCGTCTCCTACGGCGTTTTCATGTGCCTCGAGTGCTCCGGCAAGCACCGCGGCCTCGGTGTCCACATCTCCTTCGTCCGATCCGTCACCATGGACTCCTGGTCCGAGATCCAGATCAAGAAGATGGAGGCTGGTGGCAACGACAACCTCAACTCCTTCTTAGCCCTCCGAGGAATCCCTAAAGAAACCGATATCGTCTCCAAGTACAACACCAAAGCCGCTGCCGTTTACCGCGATCGAATCCAAGCATTGGCTGAGGGCAAACCTTGGCGCGACCCGCCCGCTAGCAAGGAAACCCTCGGCGGCAGCGGCAGAAAGCCGCCACTTTCTCAATCCTCGCCCAAGGATAATGGTGGTTGGGATAGTTGGGATAATGAAGATGCAATTAGATCTTCCGACGACATGAGGAGGAACCAATCCGTCGGCGATTTTAGGGCTAATGGTAGCGGCGCCATGGCTGGTGGTCGCCCGAGGTCGAGATCGACCGAGGATATTTATACGAGATCGCAATTGGAGGCCTCTGCTGCTAGTAAAGAAACCTTCTTTGCCAGAAGAATGGCAGAGAATGAGTCGAGGCCCGAAGGTCTCCCGCCTTCTCAAGGTGGCAAGTATGTAGGGTTTGGATCGGGCCCTCCGCCTTCCCAGATGAATAATTCACAACCAGACGTATTGTCTGTTGTCTCCCAGGTAGCTCAAATGTCTGGATTTTTGCTCTTCATAAACTGCGAGATCAGATCATTCCATATTATTGATAATCTATTTGCTTCTGTACTGTTTGGTTAGGGATTGGGGAAGTTGTCTTTGGTGGCGGCTTCAGCAGCTCAGTCAGCTGCTACTGTTGTCCAAGCAGGCACCAAAGAGATCAGCTCTAAGGTATTTGGCTTTATTTATTCTGTTTGTCAGAAATTGGCGTGTTTCGACCCCTGCAATCTGCATCACTCCTAAAGCTGACTTTCTGGGATATAGCCCCTCGGCGAACTTCAACCAACCTTTATCTATACTATATGGTCCTCCCAGTGGGGTTAGATTCTATTTGTTGTATGCGATGGTAATGTGTATTGACTACTTTGATCTCTTGGCATTTGATCTGATTCGATTTTGTCAAGAAATGTTGTAGTGTCATTAGAACTATGTTTTAATGTGTATTGACTGCTTTGATATCTTGGCATTTGAATTGATTCGATTTCATCAAGAAATGTTGTAGTGTCATTAGAAATATGTTTTCATCTGTTCAACATTTTATTTATGAAATGGGTCTAGATGGTTTTTTGTTTTTCTGGGTACTCTTTCCTTGCAAGTGTGGTCAGTGATGATTGCTAATATGCCCAACCATGTGAACAGGTGAAAGAAGGTGGTTATGATTACAGGGTGAACGAAACTGTCAATGTTGTGACTGCAAAAACAACAGAGATTGGACAAAGAACTTGGGGGATTATGAAAGGTGTCATGGCAATGGCTACACAGAAGGTCGAGGAATATGCCAAAGATGGCGGGTGGAAGAATGAGAGCGAGAGTAACGGTTATTATCAGGAGTTCAATAAGCAAGATAACAGAGGATGGAATTCTAACCCTAGTGCTGCAGCCGGACAGTCTTCATCAGGCGGAAATGGTAGCTCGAGTGGGAACTACAATTCAAGTGGAAGCAATCATACAAGTGGCAACTGTAGTTTAGGTGGGAATATTAACAATTCGCATAGTTCATGGGATGATTGGGATCAGAAGGAGACGAGGAAAGTAGATAGCAAAAAGCCCACTGGATCAAACAGCGGTGGTGATGCATGGGCTGGATGGGATGATGCGAAAGATGATGGATTTGATGATAACTTCTACCAGCCTGCTGCGAATAACAAGAAAGCTACTGGCAGCAATGGGAAACCAGATTCTTCATGGACAGGCAGAGGTTTTGATTAAGGTTAGACTTCTTGCTTACGCTCTCTGTCAGTTTGAATTCTTTTCCTCACTTGGTGAGCCTCATTAATGGCGATTCTTTCTGCTTCTGGCTAGCTAGATTCGTCGGCTTTCAGTTTGGCGCAGATCCTGAGTTTTCCCTGTTATGATGGTGGGCTCGGCTTCTACATTGGGCTGGTGGGGTTGCAATGGTGGCAAATTGTTTGGTGAGGATCTGTAATATTCCAATTTCAAGTGAAGGGTGGCCGTGGATCAGATCCTTAACAATTGAGGGGATGCATCCATGGAGGATGGTATATTTTTCTGAAGACATGTCGGGTCTTTCGTTCTCTTTTTTAATTTCCCTTTCTTGGTGGAATCATTTCTATTGGATCTACATTCCTTCGAGGGAATTTGTTGCGTGTGAAACAGGGAGAATTGAGTTTTCTTTCTGTCCTTTCTTATCTCGCTGGGTTGGAATATTATTCTGGGGCTTCGAAGGTCGAAAAAGTTGCTTTTCGATATATTTTTGTAATGCTGATGTAATCAAATTTGTGTATCATTTTCGTTTCTTTCAGCAACCGGTCCTCTCCCCAAAGGTTGTCAAACCAAAGTCAGACCGGTCGAACCAGAACCAGTCCCAAAATGGCTCCTAGCATAAGCGACAACCAGGTGTAGCATCGGGTAAGTAAGTAATAAAATTATCAAACCAGGTGTAGCATAGGGTAAGTAAAGTAATAAAATTATCAAACCACGGGCCTCTAGATATGTTGTTACCTCAATTTAGGTATGTTATCTAGCCAAATAAGAGTAGTGATAAGAAAATAAGCTAACTACACTAACCTGACCACTACTACAAGGTTGGGAGCTCACTTAAGCATGAATCCCTCTAATTTCTTTATTTGGTTGACGTTGAGTACTACCCTAGATTGATTCAATACTTCTTGAAGAATTCTAGACTAGACTGAACTCCCTATTCGAGGTATCCAACCTCACTCAATTCCTCTACCCGGAGAAGCATACCATACAACCAACATAGGAGATTGAGGTGTTAACAACCAACTCCCACGATTGGAAAATACAAAATATGAAATGCTAGATCCTTTAACACTCGTTCAAACACCCATAGTGAGTGATTGAAAGGTGCTCTATTCAAGCTAGGAAAATATTCTCTCTCCTAGGTCAAAAACTCAATTGACATTTAGTGGGATCAAGACTCATGCAATTCATCATGAACATCAATCAAAAAGATAATACATAATAGGAGTAGTCAATCATAGGATTTGTCACATACATCAACAATTAAACCATATTCTAGAACTAGGGTCCATTAGCTTAAGTGAAGGAAAGCTAATTCATAGAGTAGAAGAGAGAGAGAGAATACAATACAGGGTTTAGAATCTTCAATCTTCACCTTTTAGGGGATGATCTTTAAGCTCCAATAGTGATTTGCACCTCCAAAATAGCTCCAAGAACCCTCCAATGTCATACACTCTCTCTAGAATTGCCCATAGGGTATTTTGGGGTAAAAAATTGTGGCTGATAAGCTCCAACCCTGGAAGCTTGATAAATCGAACCCTCAATTCCTTGCAATCGAACTTAGCGGATGAATTGGGGAAAGAACACGTACAAAACAGGGAATAAAAGGCGGAGTTGGGAAGAGCAACTTCAACACACGAAATCGGGGAAGAGGCTCGATCCAATTGGGTGTAACTCGTCCACGATTGATGGGAATAATCAATCGATGCTGAGCTCGCTCGTTGATGGATTTAATTCCACACAACAAGGACAAATCAAAGAGCTAGAACTCAATGACTAGGGTTCTTATTAAACTTTTAACAACTGCCGAACTTACAACGCAAACAATGAGTTTTTATATAGCTAAGCTAATAGAACTCGCCTAACAACTTCCTTATCCTACTGGAACTTGACAAAACACGATTTAACAGAAAAGGAATTAAATTTCAACTCAAACAAGGAAACAATGAAACAATTATGCCTTCAGCTCTAAGTCACCAAACAGCCTTTGATCCCATCTTCGAGGCCTTCGATGGACGACTTCCAGATATGAAACACTTCACCCAATGCCCTACCTTTGTAGATGAATATGCATATTTTCATGTGGTATCGAGCCCCTGACTCGATTCTCTGTCCTCTGCCCAGAATGGAACTCCAAAGTGACCTTCCTGAACATACCTCCAGACTTGGTCAAATTCTGGAAAACTGCCAGTTGTGATAGCTACTTTGAGCCCGTGTGAAACAGCCTTAATGGCGTCGTATGAATCCAAAACCCATACCATCTTGTTCAGGAAGTCTTCATGATCAAAACGATACCCTAAACTCCCATTTTCATCAACCCAATTGGAAGAACCGAGCTCCCAAAGTGGGCTACCTGAACACGTCAATACACTTGGCCAAAATTCCAGATTATTCAAATGAGTTGGGCTAGCTTCGTGGTAGGGATGGCAAAAATATCCGTAACCGTGGATATCCACCCGAATCCGATCTAATCGGGTAGGGTAAAACCCGAACCCGAAGCATTTTTCGTGGGTACGGGTAAAACCCGAACCCGAATATTGCGGGTAATGGGTGGGCATGGTTATCTCACTATCCAACCCGAACCCGCCCGATTATACACATGCATATGTATTTTGTTTAGAAGTAATCATTATTTTTCCCTAGAATATTTTATATTTAGCATAGAAATATAATATTTTCATGAAATTATGTTGTTTTAATTAATTTTCGTCATTCTAGTGAATTATTGTCGTACTTTTCCTCTTACGTAATGTGAATATACGTGTGAATGCTAACATATTGGTTGAAATTATAAGGAGAAATTATTACCCATGGATAACCGTGGATACCCGAAACCCGAATGGGTATGGGCATGGTTTTGATTTTCTACCCGTTTCTCGTGTGGGTACGGGTATGGGTAAAACCCGAAATACATTGGGTAGGGTAACGGATATGCACTATCCGCCCCCGACCCGACCCATTGCCATCCCTACTTCGTGGGCAGGTAATTCGAGCTTGGTAATGACGCAAGTCTGGGTTGTATCAGGCTCTCCCTCTTCAAAAAGCTTTGCCCTCAAAGCTTGTTCTTTCTTCTTCTCGAAACCGTCACAAAACTGGGTCCAAATTGGATCGAACGAAGGCTGTACAAACTCCAGTTTCTGCAACAGAAGAACAACGTTCTTGATCGATGAGATTGGGGCTTCCTGATCTATGAACATCCAGTCCAATTCATGGCTGATACGAGATTGTCCATACTCCCAATCGACTTCCTGGACACTTCTCGTGCTTTGACTCGTCGCCAGCGGCGGCGGCCCAATTCCATGTTCCTTCCCGCCAACAATAGAGTTCGAAAATGCCCCAACCAGCAATTTTGATTTCAATTTGGGCGTTTTCTTCCTAGCTTCCTCCGAGTGAAATTGATCCACCCCACAGCTTTCCAAGGATGGCAGGAATGTCTTGAAAGTGCCGGCCAGCTTCGATTCGCCCCCCGTCGTCTCACCCCATTCACACAGATCTTTTGCTTCGTCATGCGCAACCAGAGGCGGAGGATTTCGAATTTGATCGTGCAAATCAGGCACGTTCGAATCGTTTTCGTTGTCTGAAGAGATTTTGGGGTTCTCGAAGGAGGAGTTGGCGGTGGTAGTGAAACTCGACGTTGGCCAGGCCGCTCCGACCAATAGCTTCTCTCTCCTGCCCTGCCACGGCAGTGTGCGACAGAGCATTTTAGCTCGTCGGCGACGTGGAATCCTAGCCTTCTGAAATGCGGTGATAAGGTACCTTCGCGCCATGAAATTAGAGCAGCTGGCCTCATCGCGTCCCTGCGCTCGGTTAGCTTCCATTTGATGCTGATCGGCGCGAGCTTCTGCCGGAGACAGCGGTTTGAGCATGAAGCTCCTATTTCCCTGCCGCAATTTATAGCAGTTGGTGGCCCCATAATGACAGGCTCCGCGATCAAACTGCCATGGGCGTCCGAGTAGTAGATGAGTAGCCTGCATAGGTGCTGCGTCGAACACCAATTCGTCACTATATTCACCGATTGAAAAGGGTACACGTACTTGCTTGTTTACCTTAATGGCGCCAGAATTGTTAAGCCAGTGTAAACTATAAGGGTCTGGGTGTTTGTTGATTGTCAACCCAAGCCGCTTAACCACATCCAGACTAATGACATTCGCACAACTTCCCCCGTCGATGATTACGGACAACAATTGGCCATTAACGACACAGCGGGATTGAAACAAGTTCTCCCTCTGATCTGTGTCTGAATGAGAAGCCATGGTGAGAGCCCTCCTGTTAACTGCGAAGAGCTTGCCGGGTGGCGGGTCGGTGATCAGAATCTCCTCGTCTACCTTTTCTCCATCGGAATCAGTTGAAGCCTCCTGAGGTTTTTCTTCTTCTTCTTCTTCTTCTTCTTCTTCTTCTTCTTCTTCTTCTTCTTCTTCTTCTTCTTCTTCTTCTTCTTCTTCTTCTTCAGAGTAGTACTCACCATCACGTAGCACGAGTGCCTTCCTGTTGGGGCACTGATTAGCTTTATGTCCACGACCAAAGCATTTAAAACATTGGATACTGGCGCTAGAGCCTTCAGTCTTTGGTTGCTGATTGCGAGAGAAGGTGGGTTTCGCAGCCTCTGTTCGTATCGGCGTTGACCCTAAGCTTGGAACAACGTCTGAGGTGGTCTTGTGGGCAGGTGAGAACCGCCTTGCAGTGACGGTTTTGAGCTGTCTTTCTACCTTAATTGCTAGGTGCAAAACCTCTTCCAGATCAATGAACGACCGCAGTTCTACTTCCTGACGAATCTCGCGGTTTAAACCATGGAGGAAGCGAGCAATTGTCGCCTCTCGATCCTCTCGGATGTCAGCGCGCATCATGAGCAGCTCAAGCTCACGATAATAGTCTTCGACGGAACGAGATCCTTGCCTTAGTTCTTGCAATGAAGTGTGTAATTCCCTCTGGTAATAATCAGGTACGAACCTGTCACGCATAAGGCTCCGTAACTCTGCCCAGGTGGTTACCTCTGGCTGGAGATTCTGTCGCCGCCGAAGCTGAGTTCGTTCCCACCATTGCGCGGCATAATCGGAGAATTCGTAAGTCGCGAGCTTCACCTTCTGAAGCTCTGTGTACTCACCGTTGTGGAAGAATAAAGTAATTTTGCGCTCCCAGTCCAAATACGTTGATGCGTTGTTTGTTCCTTGGAAAGTTGGAATTACGAGCTTGTTCCCTCGCAATTCCGAGACAACACCATGATTAGCCTCTGGGTTCCTTCCGACGTGGTCTCGCTCGGGCTCAGCAGCTATGATTCGCTGCTCCAATTCATGGACTCGATCTGCTAAGGCCTGGGGAAGAACGTCGTCGCGGTACCGTCCGCCATTTTCTTCGTTTCCTAGGACATTCTCCGGCGGAGCCAGAGCATCCATCCGTCGAGATTGCCGCTCTAGCTTTTGATCCAGCCTGTCGAACTGGGCCTGGAACAAAACGCCCATCTCTGCCCTGAGAGTTTGCAGCAGCTCGGTCATGTTAATTTGCTGTCCAGCCATGTCTGGTTCGTTGATTTGAGCCTCGCCTCCAGACTCTGTTTCTTCCCCTGAGCTTTGTCGATGAAAGGCAGGGTCACTGGACACAGGCCCTTTAGACCTTGTCCAATGCGTTGTATCCACTGTGTCGAACACAGGCTCTGATGCCACTTGATAAGCTCCAACCCTGGAAGCTTGATAAATCGAACCCTCAATTCCTTGCAATCGAACTTAGCGGATGAATTGGGGAAAGAACACGTACAAAACAGGGAATAAAGGGCGGAGTTGGGAAGAGCAACTTCAACACACGAAATCGGGGAAGAGGCTCGATCCAATTGGGTGTAACTCGTCCACGATTGATGGGAATAATCAATCGATGCTGAGCTCGCTCGTTGATGGATTTAATTCCACACAACAAGGACAAATCAAAGAGCTAGAACTCAATGACTAGGGTTCTTATTAAACTTTTAACAACTGCCGAACTTACAACGCAAACAATGAGTTTTTATATAGCTAAGCTAATAGAACTCGCCTAACAACTTCCTTATCCTACTGGAACTTGACAAAATACGATTTAACAGAAAAGGAATTAAATTTCAACTCAAACAAGGAAACAATGAAACAATTCTGCCTTCAGCTCTAAGTCACCAAACAGCCTTTGATCCCATCTTCGAGGCCTTCGATGGACGACTTCCAGATATGAAACACTTCACCCAATGCCCTTCCTTTGTAGATGAAAATGCATATTTTCATGTGGTATCGAGCCCCTGACTCGATTCTCTGTCCTCTGCCCAGAATGGAACTCCAAAGTGACCTTCCTGAACATACCTCCAGACTTGGTCAAATTCTGGAAAACTGCCAGTTGTGCGATAGC